TCACAGGTTTCGATAAACGTTGTTATTTTTGTGAGAAGGTGAGCGGCTGTATATGTAGGTTTATTATCATTGTTAAGATTTGAAATACCATCGTGTGTGATGGTTGTTCGTTGTGAAATAGTTTTAATAGTTTTTGTTGAGGTCATTGCGAAAGAATAGCAACAATATAAAACGATAATGCTAAATTTTTTTCGGATCGACACGTGAGTAATTGTCATATTTTATTTATCGATACCACAGTTGTACAGCATATATTATTAATTTTGGAATTACTCTTACCACCTTGACAGTTAAAAAAAAAGATTAACCCAGCTGGGATTTTTCACTTATGGTATATATTTATTGCACGCGCACTCCACTTTGGATTTGTATTTACTTAAATTCACTTTTTTTTATATTCTATTAAAACGCTTACATAAATGAACAAATGAAAAAAAGTCTAACAACACGCAAGACCAAGATTTCATTAAGCTTTCACAGTTATCAAACCATTTGGCCTCCTTTACTGCCAGGCTTGAGGACGGAAGCTTAATAGATGTTTGTGTTAATGGTTTATTCTTAGTTTTTTTTTTCTTTAAAAAATTGTCAAAATAAAATAAATCCGGTATATTTAGGCAACTGAAGGTATAACAGAACGACACGCTACAAGCGCACACAAATTACTGCAAAATGCAAGTTTACTTATTGCCAAGCAGCAATCTGTTAATAGTGGTGGTAATAACGATTCGTTGTCGGTACCGGCGGTGAAGAAAATTACAGGTGCGATGTATTCAAGGATTGGTCATGACTCTGCAAAACTACTTTTATTTGATTTTTTGATTTTATGGTTTTTTTTTCAAAGTTACATTTCAGGATTACACTTATGGATTCACTTTATCGAACGAAAAGATTTATGCTGTTTCACGCGCGAATCTTGAGTGATTGAATTATCATTGTTTGTAAAAATACCGTAGGATTAGACTGGGATGGATAGAAAACAATATTATATCTCAATTGATTTATCAAAAATTTTGTATTCATTGATTTTACTAAATAAGAGGCGATTTTAAGAATATATGGTCACTCTTACATGATATTGATTACAGAATATCTATCAAAACATAATGAATCGGATTCATTTTTGGGTTGTGACACATCAATAATGAACAAAGCATTGTTCATTATTTCCTTGCATGGCCACCGTATGACCAAACAATGTCCGGAGGAAGATCCATTTATCTATCCATATCCGATACCTTAAACGGTGTAATGACGATTGCGTCTAACTCACGTGTAAAGCTCGTGATCGACTTCCGATAGATCTCACTGCTTCGGGAATACCGTGATTATTGATTGAGGGTGCCTTCCGTTTTCTGCGAGCGGCTGTAGTGATTTGTGTTTTTTGGTTCATACATTCCGTCCTTGCATTCAGCAGGTGAAGACAATTGTAAGAATATCATCAGTCGGTTTATGGTCAACTTACCAAAGAGAACTACGAGTTTGGCAGAATGGAGGGTTTGAGAAGTTCGAAAGCGAATTGGAGAGACGGTCACGACGAACAATCACAATTTCCGATATAAGTCTCTGCACCTCAAGCCCCGGATGTTTAAAAATTTAAACATCAATTTGTTTATCTATATCAGATCAAAAATAAATGTGTTCCATTTTTCGTGGGACGTTATCCGATGATATTTGGCGGACATGTTCGAAAGTCCGCAGCTTACGTATAGCCAACCCCTAATTTTTATGCATGTGGCTCATTATTAAACTCTAAATGAATATATATAAAAAGCTTCGAGTAGATTCTACCATTTACGCAATTTTAAATAAATACGCCCAACGCCTTTCGCGTTCCTATTAACAAAATCAAACAATGCTTAAGAAATTATTCTCATTTAATTCGGAGCCACAATTTCCGAAAACCATTGAAGGGTTTGGTTACAAATTCAATGAAAATGGTGAACTGAGAAATATTGAGACAAGTGAGTGACAAGCACTATGCTACACATTTTTGTATATTACCTGTGATAATAAAAAGGAGGTTACCTTATTTTTTTAATTCTTTTTCATTCTTATTGTCGGCTTATTTTTCATACAGACGAAAGATTTGTGTTTCGCGTTAAGCCAGACGATTATAATTATAATCAAAGCCATTATGAAGCTTTAGGAGGTAAATTAATAATAGATTAATAATACATTATCAGCATTGGCCTTGGCCACGGCAAATCGATCAAATTTTGGCCGTGATCAAGCGACCAAAAATTTTTGACTGCGACAAAGTTCAACATAGCATATTACTGTTGCATTGGGACTGGTAAAAAAAAATCCGAGCTCATATTGAATTTAATGTTACATTGATTCTTTAAGAGGTGATCGGTGAATACATCGAAGATCTGCTTGTTTCGCAATTCCGTCTCAAGCGGCAGGAAATTCCTCTTGGCGGCGAACAGCCAAAGAGCAGAATTTATGTTAGGTTGGTATAATGAAACTTGATTTTATCAATTCATTTCTTTTGACTGATTTTTTTTCTGTAGTGAGGATTATAACGAAAATCCGACATTACTCTTGCTTATGCAAGGTAGTGGTGTAGTACGTGCTGGACAATGGGCCCGTCAAGGTTAGTTGAGACCAGCTTTCAATCTATATCTTTGATTTTTTTACCTCATTTGCTTTCTAAGTTTCTATTGTATATATTTGATATATTTATAGTTATTATCAATGATTCACTCGAGG